TGCGTAAAATGACCTACGCCAAAGTAGAATAACAAAACATACCTACTACTACCAAACAAGTAGGCAGTTTTTTGAATTAAAGAAAGAGCGGGCGATGCCATACTGCCATCCTTAACGTTACATGATACTGCCTGAAGCGTAACTGTCGTAGGACCGAACAGGTTGGAGTGTAATATTGTCAGAAGGATAAGTTAACTAGTAACTTTTTGTGGAAATAAACTCACAGCTGTGGAGTACTTTCAATGAACTTTCCGTTGTAGAAGAGTTTGGCAAAGTAGGTGAACGAGTTCATAGCCTTTCTCCTCTCCTGTTCTGACCTTCAGGGAGATTACGAGGAAAAGAGAGGGAAGAGGACATGAAATCACCAGTTTCTATAAAGCGCAAAACCCATCATTAAATCTGGTACAGACCTCTAAGAGCGAACAGACGAAACAGAAGATGCAATCGCTGGAACAAGAGGTTTAATGGCTTGACGTTTCGAATGCTCGGCATCTACGTTCCTTAAGTTCTGCGTATCTTGTAGGTCTAGTATCGTTTTCTGCAACTGTCACTGATGCTAGGTATGAATGCGAGTCCGAAAGTTCAGGCAAATAAACGTCTTGTTCCAGCGACCCCATCATCTTTCTCTTCTTCTGAACAGCTAGGACTCTCCGGCGCAGCGTAAGTAAAAAACAAATTGGTAGAACAGTATTTCCAGACTAAAGAGGGTTGCTAAATGTCTATCTTCACCAGGTTCTCAGTGTGGTGATGGGAGCGGGACAATTAAAAGGTGGCCATCGTTTGAAACAATTAGCAGATTACCAATGCAAACAGCGTACAACGCATCAGGCAGCCAAATGGAATGGGACCCTGTCGAAATCGTCTTCGAAAACGGTTTTCTCTGAAGGCGTAACCTGCTGTCAAAGTATACCACAGGAAATTTCTACCTCATGGCATGTTAACCGAAATTTTAAAATGCTTTTCCGATTCGAAAACATTACTTTAGAAGAAGAAGAGACGGTCACTGGAACAATAATTTTATTTTCCTGACGGTTCGGATTCTCTTTTAAAACACAGTAAAACCATAGGAAAGTGTGAGACATGCGCAGGATGTCAGCTTTTAAATAAGCTTTTGGCGGACAGCCGATATTGCTGTCTGACTCCCCTGTCCAGTGCTCGCTGCCTCAATGTCATGCAACTTCACAGGTGGCTGGCTGACCCGAACACCCCTTGACCGATATTCACTTGCGCACACACCCGCGTGCAAATAGTCGCGGTTGCCGATAGGCCACTTTAACACGCCGCCCCTCACAGACGCAGCCTGGGCTTCTATAGGTGACACCCAATTGAGCAATGCTAAAGACCAATTGGACACCACCTGCTCTTGCTCCATAATCCTACAAAAGCAGCTGACATCACTGTCTCACTCTCTCACTCACTGGGGATTTGGTCTGATAATGTTAGCGTCCCGAGCAAAAACACTCCTTAGGCACTAGAAGCTTTGTTTCAGAAGCTCAAAAACCAATACTACGTAACACACGACTACTCAAGTATTTGGCTTTTTTGCTTTTTAATAACCTGAAACTGTAGAAAACAAGCATAAAATAACATTTCATTCCGTTCATTTGGTAGCAACATGGCATCTTCTACACTTTCTTCGGTTTTTGAAGGCTTCTATTCAGAAAACTGTTTGAGACCTCAAAATACCCCTTCATAATACATTTATTAATGCTGCTTAGAAAGTGTACGATGTGGTCTACATCCAAGGCACAATTTTATGAACACTGTCCAACGTCTTCCTGATGACGTAGAGATATGGGCGCCTTTCTTTATAAGGAATATGCACGCGTTAAAACAGTTAAGGTTCAACATTATGCGGAAATAAAAAAAACGTTTTTAAACCCTTACTATACACATCTGAACGTGTATATTTTTAAGACGACGTATATACCAACGAAGAATTACAAGAAAAGGATTTTTTACGCATGTATTTTTATACTAATTTATAATAGCATCTCAAATCAAAGGAGCAAGGCGCTATCAATTAAGTACTCATTTTTTACAAAGTAAAGCATTTACTGGCGATCGGAATAAAACTCCTTAAAAAGCCGGTATTTTTACGTGAGTGACGTATCTGGAAGACAATGCTTCATGAAAGGTAACATTGCTACCTTCCTAAACTTACTTTTTATAACTGAAAAGAAAACATTCCAGAACTTCGTGAACACTTCCTGGGAGGGCATGGCTCTAGAGAATGGTCAGGTCTACTTTCTTCCATATTTTTTCAGTGAACCTTCTAGACTGCTCTTACCTTGGGCACTCGAACTCCGGCGTGATGTCCACTTCCTCATTGAGCATAACTGAGATCTTCGACTCCCCAGGCTTGCGGCGGTAAGTTGCCAGCTCGCTGACGATGGCTTTTCGGGCAGAAACGGCATTGAATTCTGTCGGGGGTTCCGGTTTATCCACCACAGAGTTCCGTTTTTCTTTACCCCCGGCTGTCTACAAACAATGCGAAAGAAATGGCAGACTCAGCAAACACAGTCATCGGCCCCTCGTCAGTTAATTTGTTACAGTAACCAGAACAGTCCATACACCCGAACCGTTGCTTCCATTTCGGCAGTGGCATTTTGCCTGACGGCCTCATCAAGGTAGAGTAGCTGTTACTCTTTTCTTCTTGCATAATTAATTGTATATCTGAGGAGAGTGACTTGAGGAGGTTATGGAAATTCTGCAATATGCCACTCCTGACGGTAACAAAGGTGTTGCCAAGGTGACGGTGCCACATGATCAGTGCATGCTTGTCAACGGCAGTCCTTCTAATCCTTGTCGGATCAATTCGACCGCTAAACCAGAGAGTGGGGAGCCCAGCGGAATTCCTTTGGCAAACTTCAAGCAGGTGCTAACTTTTAAGCGGGCTGTCACTTCTGTTCATATGATTAATAAAATAACTGCTGTTCGATTGACTTCAATCCGTCTTCTCCCCAACTGTTGCTTGTTTCTGTTGCCGCTTTTTAAGTCTGGCGAAGGAATCCTGCACGGTCTCGAAGCTCATATGAATAAACACGTGCTACTTACAAAATGTAAGTAGGTTTGGTGCATTTATCTCTGACGCCAGTTAGATTTCGAAAGCTCATATACAGTAGTCGCCACAGACCATGCAATTTTCATAACTTTGTATAAGTTTGATCACACAGGCCATGCAATTTTCATAACTTTGTATAAGATTGATCATTACTCGAAGATCAATGTGAATGCATTTAGGAAGATTTAGAAATAATAATGAACTGCATCAGGCCTATTAGGTACTTAAAGGAACTATAGGAATCAACTAAGTGTTTGTAAAGAAAATTAAAATTTTCTCGATAATTCAGAAGGGCAGTTGGCGAGCATACGTATACTTTCGATAAATTCTCTTCCGGCCATTACATTTATATGGAAGGGAAAGGTACAGGGTAACAAGCAAACAATTAATTATCGTTCTAATCAACTTAGTCTTGGGAATGGGGGCTTGGGGTT